GGGCCTGGCCCTCCGAGGGCTGCGGGAGCGGCGCTGGAAGCCGCTGGGGCCGAGGGGAGGCCAGCTCGCAGCCATGGCCCTCGCTGTGCGCCCAGTTGCGTGGTATCGGGGATGCCCGGAGGGGCTCGAGGGAGGTAGGGTCGCCGCCTTCTCGTGGGTGCCTTTTGCCTTTGGACTCTGTTCCCTGGGGAAACGTTAGTGGAGATCAGAGCGAGCCACGGTTAGGGGGTACAAGGCGGACCTTTGTGTAGGTGTTGTATGAACTGCGGGTCCTGGCATGCCTGGTATTTAGAGTTGTTACTAAACAGCTGGCCTGTGGAGGAGTTGGCTTTGTTTCTTCTGGGGTAATGTTAAAATTTTCAGTGTTCCTCGTGCACCCCCAAGCTGTAAAACTTGGGTGCTCTGTTGATACCTTCAGTGAGGGTAAATATAATGTATCTTATGATCGTAATTAAATAAACCCTTTTTAGCTGTGGCGTTCTGTTAGTGTAATTTTGAGCTCTCATGCTTTAAAAAAATAAAGGCTGAACAGGCTTTCTTCAGGTTTTCAAGTGGCTTACCTCAGGCCTAAAAATGACCTTGAATATTTCTGTGCAATAGGTAGCTAGTACCGAAAGCTATAAATTAATGAAAAAACATTAGGTAAAAAGTTATAACATTTAAATTGTCAATGTGCATTGGTTGTTTCCATAGCACCATAACAGAGGCATAGTTTAATTCATATTTAAAAAATAAAAAAAGCACGCACATGTTTCACAAGTACACCCTAAACTGGCTTTAACTTCTTTCTCTCTCTCTTATAAAGCACATGCCATTACTGGTTGAAATATCTTAGTGCTTTATTTTACCGAAGTGAATGGAAGAGGGTTTCATATTTCTAATTTAACTAGCAATGTTTTACTATAGAAAAAATTTTTAGAGGCCCAGGCCTCGCAATTGCACAGGAGGAGGCTTACCAGCAATGAGAGGCTTTAACTATCCTGGTTATTATAGTAGAGTTCAATTCTGAAAAATCATTACTTTTCCTAAATAAAGCAAAGCTTGGTGCAGAATGAACATGAGCAGCTTAAGTTGTTTGAAAAAAATAGTTCTGGAAACGTTCGTGCATCCCGCTTAATCTTCAGGGCCTGCTCTTGTGAGGCAGGTTACCTTCTAGGAGACTTCAGCAGAAGCAGATGCAAAGGTTCCATAAAGTGCCCAAAAGAGGTTATTCCGCAGGTTGTGCGTGTATTTGTATGTATATTTGTACGTGAATATCTCTTATCTAACATAGCAGCTTTTGTTTTTGTTTAGATCACACTATCAATGTACTACTTTTTTTTTTTTTCAGGTTTTGATTAGTGTTTTAAGCTCACAACACACGTTTCTCTGGAGCCGATGTTTTCCTAAAGCTTTGAGCTTAGCTAAAAAAACTACTTTGCTGGAATGTTTTAAAGGGTTAAAAACCCTTTAGGGTTTGAAATTGATTTTAGTTAATTGAAGGAAATATTTCTGGACTCACCAAAGAAATAACAGGGATCATGGATCAGAACAACAGCTTGCCACCCTATGCTCAAGGCTTAGCCTCCCCTCAGGTAAAAGTGAATTATTTTAATATGCAATTGTGATCTGAATTTCTTTGTGAACGTGTTTTTTTGTTTCTTGGATGTAATCACTACAGCTTTTATGTTTGCAGATCTGAAAAACTGTAGTAGATACAGAATAATATTCATATAAAACCGAATTTTGAAACCATCGAGGTGTATATCCAGAGATTTAAGAAATGTGCAGATAGTTCTCTGGAGCTGAAACACAAGCGATAAGTTAGGAATACTAATTTTAATGGTTGACCTGGAAACCGTTTAAACTAGGTCCATTGTACAGTCTATTAAGCACTGTAGCTGTACTATGAATACATTTGGTATCAGGGGTAGAGTCTTCAAACAATTGCAAGTAAAATTTGTGGGTCAGAATTGAGTATGTTTGCAGGGTGCTGTGCGAAATGTACCAGCATCACTGGCTGGTGGAGAACAATGAAAGAATTGATAAGATCAGTAGAGACAGTGTTTCGTTTTATGGAAGAACTGTATTTCTAGGGGCTTTTTGTTTTTAATGAATCACTGTGCCTCGGGTTTGATATGTTCAAATAAGCTCATTTATTTCTAGACCCCTTTAGCAAGTTTTTTTTCCTTCTCTTAAAGACAAAATGGAGTCAATGGTATCTGTAGTTTATTTTTCATGTTTTCTTCTGTAGGGTGCAATGACTCCAGGAATTCCAATTTTTAGCCCAATGATGCCATATGGCACAGGACTTACACCCCAGCCTGTCCAGAGCACCAACAGTCTGTCCATCCTGGAGGAACAGCAGCGGCAGCAGCAGCAGCAGCAACAGCAAGCAGCGCAGCAATCTACGTCACAGCAAGCAACACAGGGAACGTCCGGTCAAACACCTCAGCTCTTCCACTCACAGACTCTTACCACAGCCCCTTTACCGGGAACCACACCTCTGTACCCCTCTCCCATGACTCCGATGACTCCAATAACTCCTGCAACACCAGCATCCGAGAGCTCTGGGATAGTGCCACAGCTACAGTGAGTGTGCCATATGCTGGCACAGTATGTCCTTTCTTAAGTAGCCCTTTAAAGACTTGCGGCCAAAGCCCCATCAGGAATTGGGTTCCATGTCTTAGTGGAGAGAAAGGTCCTCAGAATTCATTTATGGGTCTCCTTTAGCATGAGAGTAACTTTTTTTTTTTAAGCTTAGTTTCTGTTACTAAGCCACTTAGTAAGAGAAACCGCTTCTTAGTGGTTTGTAAACTATATATCCTTTATTTAAGCACCCAAGCGCAAAATATCATATATGTCTTTATTCAGCAGCATCTAACTTTTAGCTTAGTGCACTCTAGGTATTAAAACTGAGTACATGAACTATCGCAGCTGGAAAGAAACTAAAAGGATAGAGGGGAAGAAACTGTCTAGCAGCTAGACCTGTAATTGTCCTTAATATTCCACATTCTGTTTTCTGCTGTTTTTCTACTACAGCTGAGTTTATGATTAGGGAAGAACACATTGAAGTAGTGTTCTCCATTTAGTTATGAAAATATTTTCAGTGAGCTTTAGCTGTAGAGAGACATATATGGCAATTTAGGGAAGGCACAAAGAGAATCAAGGTGAATTTTGTAGTGGAAGAGTGGTTCCTAGTTTTTATTCCACTGAGGAACTTGAGATTGAAGAGTTTTCCTAGAAAACAAGTTTCCAAGGATATTAAGTTTCCTAGAGATCTTTTTATCACAGAGCAATGGGCTTCACTTCTAGCTTAATTCCTGCTTAGTCCTGCACCCCTTCAGAATATTGGCTTTCTTCCCCCTTAAAGGGTGTACCAGGAAAATTTCAGGTAGTGCTGTTGCTTCCTCACTTTTCCCTGTTCCCAGCGGCTCCCCTGCCTGTGATGGTGATTCTCAATCTCAAGAGTTTTTCCTGCCAAACTGCAGGAGAGACTTGTCTCGTGAGACACTTTTCATAACAGCTGGCAGAACAGGAGGAACTGGCAATCATGCTTTAGGAGCAAGTGCCCTAAAAAAGGCATTTCTGCCAAGTACAACCTGAGCCAAAAGACTGCTCAGTGCAGTGCTTCGATTAAAAAAAAAAAATGCATAATTAAAAACGGGGAGAAAGCATGAATTTTTTTAATTTATTTATTTTCTCATTAATACATTTCTCTGAACTGTCTTCAGGAATATTGTGTCCACGGTTAATCTTGGTTGCAAGCTTGACCTAAAAACCATTGCGCTTCGTGCCCGAAATGCTGAATATAACCCCAAGGTAAGAGAAGCGTATTAGATTTCAACCTGTAACAGGTATGACAAAGGCATAGGTTTTGAGTATAGTTTGCTGTCATAGCTAGATTGAAAAACCATCCTGCTATATGTGCAGTTTTATGCTAGCGCTTAAAAAAAATCTGTAATAAATGTAGACCGTTCTTCAAATTAGTAAAAAGCATTTTTATGCGGATGTAGCTGTGTTTTTTACTTGGGCACATTTAATTATTTATTTATATATATTATTTTCATGGATAATTATATATATATAACACATATATATTATGCATATTTATGTATATTATATTTATTATATTATATAGTCATATTTATGAAGAACCTGACCAACAATGTACTACACTGCCAAAGTTTTTTGATACAGAGCTCACCTCAACTACCGCTCAAATGGACGTGTGTGTTTGTTGCGCTCGGGAAGCTCATATGAGTCTGAAATGTCTGACGTTGAAGCATTGTTATCTATCCCTTAACAAGGAGAAAGGAAGGAAGATTTCAGTTTCTGGGCTCCTGCCAGAGCCACGGTTGCTCTGTGTATGCTGTGGCTTCCTCTGCCTGGCTACTCCCCTGGAATTCTTGTGGCTGCAGTGCAGTAACTGGGTTTTTACAGTCTCATTTCCCCTTTGAGCTCCACTCCTTCATGTTGTCCCCCAGTGCACCCAGCTTCCCCTCCCCACCTGGAAGGTTAGGTTTGGTGGAAGAGCCAAATGAAGCTGATCTTTGATTTGTCTATTTCAGAGTTGCCCACTGTTTCTAAACAGCAGCTTTGCAAAACTGATGACTAACTTTGGGGGGGAGGAGTTTTTTAGCTTGGAAAACTGAACAGCAGCAGAGGCCCTGGAGCATTGAATCAAGACAATTATGTTGCTTCATTTTTCTTTCACTTAGCTCTTTAAAAAGTTATTTTTGCAGCCACAGCAGTTAGACACTATTTTTACTGAAAGCTTAGATGCTGTGTAGTTGAATTGGCTTGCCTTGTGAAGGCTTCAGTTTTCTTGGGGTGTATGATTTTTTTTTCTCGTTTTATTTTGTTTTAATAATGTGGGATTTTGCTACAGCTTACCTGAACTCAGCTCTCAAAGATTAAAGGCATGCATGCAGGCGTAGGTAATAAATAACTGTTACTGTACCATTAAGTTTTTATCAGTGATACTGTTACATAATTGCATGTGAGTAAGATTTGAGTGCAGCAAAAATTTGAGCCTGATAAGGTAATTCTTAAGTTAGTAGATGGCTATGTAAAACTTGTAGGCTGGAATGATCGATATGAAATGCTTTTTCCCATAGCAGAGAAAAAGGAGGGTTATGTAATGCACGCCCGACTTCTAGTCGGTACGCTTAGCTGTCAAAAAGAAGTTGCTTGGCTGTGTCATTTACGCCATAGTTGCACAAATGTGGTCTTAGGTAGCCCATGCTACTGCCTTATGTCAGTCAGCAGAAGGATTTATGGGGCTGCATGATGAACTGGTCCAGGTTAAATATAACAGGCAAACAGGAGGTTGTGTGTGTGTGTGTGTGTTTATGCCCAGCTTAGTTTTCAGTATCTCCTGCTTTCAGAGAGTTTAAGAATATTTGTAAATGGAGCTCCAACGAACGTGGCTTCTGAGTTTGATTTCCAGCTGTTCTGTTAGCAGTGTTCTAACACTGTCCGATTGTTTAAGATACAGAGACAAAATAGATCATAAAACATTTGTAAGCAGGATGGAAGACTACATGCAACAGATCAAATCTCAGGGCATGGGGAGGAAGGCTTACTTTTTAAAGATGTAGTTGTCTCCGTATTGCAAACGTTAGCATTATTTATACATCGCATGTACAGTAATGGGAAATGAGCTTAGTAAAATAGGAATGTAATGGCAAATACCCTTCCTTTCTGACTACCTCTAAGCGTGTGTATTTGAAGCTACTTGAAATATTCCAATCATGCATGATCTGTAAGTATATTTGAATTTAGTATTTCTGTGAAATACAGTATAAAATGCTGTTTAGAATACTCAGTTTTAGAATATGCTAATTATTGGAGCAATCTGTCACTAATAGTTTCAACTTTCACATTTCAGCGTTTTGCTGCTGTTATTATGAGAATAAGAGAACCTCGTACTACTGCACTTATATTCAGCTCTGGAAAAATGGTGTGCACGGGAGCTAAAAGGTAGGCGTAGCCTGTTATAAGAAAACTAATGCAGACTCTTTCCACTGTAGCATGGTGATTTAGAAATAGTTATTTGTGCCCATGCTGCTTCCCACGTACGTTATTTTGCCAAGAGCTCCAAGTCTCTAGTGCCTGTAGTCTGATCTGTTCTTAACGTGATCAGTGAAGAATAAGAATTGAAAACTAAACATAAGCTTAACTCCAGTTGGCAGGAGAGAAATTCTGCCCTGAAGAACTCGTTTAGGAATCCAAAAAGAACAAGTTCATGAGCACAGGTGAATGAACAGAGCCATACAGGAAACGCTTTCTCTGCCTGGTGACACTTGAAGTTCAAGTTGTCTTATTCTGCCTTAGGACCAACCAGAGATTTTCAGCTGCTTACAAAACTGAAGCAATCTGGGTTCTGCCAAAGCAAGTAAGGCCACGCAGTTGTAATAAACCCAGGTTTGAGTGCCTTAGCTGAATAAGGTAGAGGAGTTCCACGGCTTTTTTGTAGGAACATGTGTTTTCCAGCAGTAGTTCAAAGCTGTTCTCTACTGAAGACTGAAATAAGTTTTTGGCTTAACAGAAGAACTCGAGTAGATTTTTTTAAGAGTGTAAATGTTATAGTTACAACTTACTGTATTCTGTCTCATAGACAGTGAGTACATTAATCACATGCAAGATCTTAGTATCAAAATTAGAATACAAATCAATGTTAGTTGTTGATTTTGGATGTAAAAGCTTGGCCTGTGATCCTCCCCGCTGCACCTCTCAACGTGTTTTACACAGTTAAGTATTTGTAGTTTAATGCTGTTTGCTTCAATACTTACTAAGGGAATAAAACGCATATCCTTTTCTCCCTTCAGTGAGGAGCAGTCCAGACTGGCAGCAAGGAAGTATGCTAGAGTTGTCCAGAAGTTGGGTTTTCCAGCAAAATTTCTGGATTTTAAAATTCAGAACATGGTGGGGAGCTGTGGTTT